ATAATAGAAACATGCCTTCAACCATCAAAATCAGACGAAAATTATGTTGAATTTTAGTCAATTTTTCTGATTTTTTTTTACTTTTTATAATAGAACATGTCTCTGACCATTAAAATTAGATAAAACTTAAGTTGAATTTTTGTTAATTTTTTTTATAATATAAATATGCCTCCAACCATCAAAATCAGATGAAAATTATATTGAATTTTAGTTAATTTTTCTGATTTTTTTTTGCTTTTTATAATAGAAACATACCTTCAACCATCAAAATCAGACGAAATTTAAGTTGAATTTTTGTGATTTTTCTGATTTTTTATATATATCAATTTTATATGCTTATTTGACCAAATTGATACCAAATTGAGGCCAATTTTAGGCTGATTTATAGTTATTTAAATTCTGAATTGATGCTGAATGATGCTGAATTGAGATCAATTTTAAGCTGATTTATGTTATTTAAGTTTCGAATTAATGCCAAATGATGCTGAATTAAGATCAATTTTAGGTTAATTTATGGTTGAATTTAATCTGAATGGTCATGTCCGATTGGAGTTAATCAGTATCTATTGGCACCTGTTTGTGCTGATCAAAAAACATAACAAATCAACCATAAATAGTATCAAAATCAGCCTAAAATCAGCCATCCAATTTTTAGCTGATTTGGACTATTAATATAATTATATTAAATGGTGGTATCCCACTTAAAGTTTTCATGACGCAAATGTTATATGTTTTTAATTCTAAATATACAAATCTAAAAAGTATTTAAAGAATCTTAACACTAAATAATAAAGCTTTGCTAACATCTTTTTTGAGTGATGATGTGATGATAGAATTATTTATTCTTACTCAACTTCTTTCTTGCTTTTTTCTTTTTGGAACTATAAGATTAGCCTTAGCTTCTAAAATCTTCTCATTAAGCTCCTCCTCTATGTGATTTTTAAATTCTTCCTCTAATTGATATTCATATTCATTAATAGGTTTCTGCTCAAAAGTATTTTCGATGATATAACACATCCTATTCAAATGAATAAGATAATTTGTAATTTATTCTTCCAAATCAGATTCCATATAGATTATACTATACTCCATTTGATTTCATATAAACAAGCATTTATTTTTATCTAAGAATCACATTACAAATTTAAAACAGTTTAAATATAAAGGAAAAATTTTATTGATTCCAAAGGTTCTAGCAAAAGTTTCTCTATAGTCATTATTTAAAAACCACATATCCTTTTTTATAAAATCACAAAGTTCGTTCTTTAATTGATCAAAAAGATGATATGATATATCCTGTAATTTTGGCAAGGATACTTTGTTTGTTCTTTCACTACTTTTATTGTAAGAGTCCAAACTGATGTATTGGGTCTCATTTGATTTAGATGCGTCTATGTATTTATTTCTGAAAAATTGTTATGATTTTAACGCTTTTTTCTTGGCATCAATTTCTGATTCTGATTTTGAGGGAGAATATGTAGAAGGAAATTTGATAGATCAGTCTTCTGTCGAGATCTGATCATATGTTTTCTGAGTTAGAGTTTTCTGAAAATCTAAAAAAAAAGAATATTTATAAAAAAGCTTTCTTTTATTTATTAATTAGTAAAGAAAAAAAAAGTTGACTTACCTCAACTGCCGTTCATGTCTGTTTGAGATGAGGATATATTAAAAGTGGAAAAGTAGAATTACTCATATTGCTCATAACTTTCATTATGAAAATATTAAGAATATTTAATAAGTATAATTGAAAGAGCAAAGGTGATATTAAAAAATTAATGATTTAGGAAAAAGGCCAGAAATGATTTCATTTATCATACTTTTCAAAAGTCTGTATTTAAGTAAATTTTGATCAGCATCATCAGAAAATCACGATTTTTAAATTAACCAATAAAATTTTATAAAATAATAAAATCAAAAATATCACGTTAATATTACACAAAATAGGTGATACAGCTAATATATAAGCAGTTAATTCATAAACAAAAAGGTCATGTATTGATTACCTGTAAAGGAAATTCATATGTTATACATATCATCCTGATGTATTTGATAGCAATTTACTTTTCACCATACCCCTGAGTTCACGTTAGTTAGCATTCTCTGGTCAATTACTTTGTCTTAGGAAGAATTATTAGAATCAATCAAGACACAGTACATCTAATGCATCACATACCAGAAATTGGATCTGATCACATAACAGTCCTTAATCCTTGTGTCCGTTGTCAAATCCATCAAAAAATTGCTATCAAATTTAGAAGCCGTTACGACAATTGTTGCTTCACATTACCCCTCTTCCTTTGTGCAAAAATTTTAGTCTTATTTAAGAATGATCGTATTGATTGAACCTATAGTGTTCTATTCAATAGCGCATTATATGAACTTGCCTTTACCTGTTTTTTGAAAAACAATAATCTGAGTTTATTTGCAGTCCCAAGAAATTTTATTCTACCTACCTTTGCAAATTTATTTGACAAATATTTGTCACCTCCATTTAATTTTCAATTATTAACTTTATCTTGTTCTTTTTCATCCTCTTCTATTTTAGAATTCTACACAGATGGATCCTTGCAAGATCTAGGTCTTCCTTCAATAAGAATGAATATTGCCTGGCTTTAAACTCACCAAAGTTTACCAATGGTTTCCTTCTCCTCTGCCTTTACATCTTTCTTTTCTTCCTCTTCATTACCTGAATTCGCAGCTATTTTCACTGCTTTACTCACAGCTTTCCTCTTCTGTAATGTTACCTTTTTTACTGATTCGGCTGTTATCATTTCCCAATTTAACAAATATAAATTCCTTCTGACAAAAGCTTCCACTGTTCACCCTGTTCTCAAAATTAATAATTATATGTATTGGTCTTGTTTTTTGAAATAATGGATACTCACGACCTCACAGTTAATATAATTAAAGTCAAAGCTCACACTGACAATATCTTCAACAACAAAGTTGATGCTCTAGCAAAATTCTGTTTAGACATTACAGCCCTTCAATTTCACACAAATAACACATCTCGATACTATTTTACACATAACAATATCCCAGTTTTAATCCTTATCAGACAATTTTGCAAAGAACTATTCCATGAATGTTCTATCTCACGGTTGCTTCAACTCTCTGTCTTAGTAAAACACTTACGACTTTATCAAATCAACTGGTTCACCATCTCCTTCATACTCAATGACAATACAGCATCACAATCTACATCATATTCTGCTTCCTTTGTTAGAAGAATGAAATATCAACATTTTCTTGAAATGTTACCCACTTTTGAGATTCTCAAATTACGACATCCATCTATTTATAACCTCTCGCTCTTGTATCTCAGATGTGATACTGCTGATGAAAACTTCTATCACATATGGATGTGTCCCACTGTCAACTATGAAATGAAAAAGATAATTCAATAATCTAAAAGTTATTTAAAAGATATCACCTATGCATATGATTATGAAATTGATCAGTTGAATTGTTGGCTGCTTGATACTTATAATACCTCAGAATTTTTCGCTCTTATCAGAGGAATTGTTCCAATACCCCTTTTTAATTTCTTTCTTAAAAAACTTTCATCACAGCCCTTAGCCTTAGCTGCGTGCTCTTCCTTCATGTATCAAATTTTTGAACTTACTTAAAATGTTTAGTGCGATCGTTGTCAACTCGTTCATGATTTTAAAAAGTTCCTTAACATTACTCTTGATTCCAAAGCTGCCAATTTTGTTACCTCAGGTTATTATTTGTCATCTAATCCTTCTATCCACTCTTTTAGCTCTCCTCCTATATCTTCGATGATATGGATAGGATCCTATTGGTCAAATTTTTAGTGCAGTAGTGGCCTCGCCCTCTTCACTTTCTTCTATATTTTTACTCGAAAAATGATTTTTTTAGCTTAGGTTATAAATTGATTTTGGGGAAGTGCAGGGTCGGTCTTCTATAGGTTTAGTCTTAGATTAGTTCTTTACGAGATTTTTGTAATTTCTTTTGATTTATATATTCTACTTTCATAATAAAGATATTGCGATACTACCGCACTTTAAAAAAAAAAAAAAAAATTTGATAGCAATTTACTTTGTCACACATATAGAAGATTTTGATCAATTTCAGATCTAATAAAGAAATCTTCACCTAAACTAACAGAAATCAATGGCTAAAGTTAGAAGGAATTCTAACAGAACTTATATTTATTCTTTGTCAGGTTATTGCTATTGAAAGAGGTATTTGTATGTACTTCATTATCATTACAATGAAAAAGGAAAAATAAAAAATATTAAAAATTAGTCATGCCAACCAATTTCCTCAATGCAAAAAAAAAAAAAATCTCTTATACTGATGTTTCATACATGTTGGAGTAAGGTGAGAACAAGTTTGAATGATAATATAGTGTTTGTTGATATTCTGCATCTAAGGATTGAATTTTGATGTATAATTCATCTCCATTAGTTTTTGTCAGTGTGTCTGAATTCATCCAAAACTTTTTAAGTATTAAATACTTACCTTTTCTATAATAAACATAATTAAAGATAATCATGTGCTCTTGTCCAAATAAGATTTTTTATAATTTTGTAAGACTCATTCGTACAACAACGCGTTCAGTTAATAAAATCTTAATTTAGTTAATCATCAAAAAAAAAAAAATTCGTAAATCGAATTTCTCTCTTTTTAATTATGCAACAACCAAAAGTTTTATTTCTTTTTGCTATATCAACCAAATTATTTAATACAAAAAATTTTTTAACGAAATCTTCATCGATACGTTATTTTAATTCACAAACATTTCGATATAAACATAAAACTTCATTTCACACAAATTATTATTTCAAACGTCAAATTACAACAGCATTTAATGCTAAAAACGTCAGAAAACATTTAATTTATCAACCCTCTTCACAAAGTTCTTCTAATACCACGCCCCCTTCGGATACAACTTCACAACATATTCATAATATTTCACAAGTATATCCAGCGACTGATGATACGCAACAAACACCTTCTCATGATAAACCATCATTAATGATATTAATTGGATGGTGGAATTGTAAACCAAAACATTTGCTTAAATATGTCTCTTTATATACGGATAAATTTCATACGGATACATTATCTCATATACCACCGTTTTATCATGTATTTTTTCCTTGGACTATTTCTAGAGATATTCATCGTTTAGCAAAAGAATTAATTGGGATATGGATTGAACGTGGAAAACCAAATAATATAGGATTTCATGTATTTAGCGATAATGGTACGTATCACTATGCTATGTTATGTGAAGCCGTTAGAGATCTATCAAAAAAGTATTCAGATTATGATCAAAGACAAATAAAATCATCATCTGGATTAAATTTATCAAGTGAAGACGCGGAATCCTTTTTAAATTCAATAAAATCTTGTGTAATAGATTCAGCTCCTTCTCCTATTTCGGAAAAGTATCTTGCGTTAGGTATTGTGGGAGGGTTTTTAAGGAAAACAACCTTGATGAAAAAATCAGCTTCAAATTCAAATTCAGAAAAGGAAGAAATTCCAATCATACAACCTCCTCCTTCTTTGATTTCTGTATTATCAATCTTTTTTACTTTACCTGTCGTTAAAAGATATCAAGATTTTGCTCATAAATCATTATATAATATTCCCGGTGGTACTCATGATGGTAGACATGTAAAATACTTATTTTTATATGGACCTGGTGATCAAATTGTACCTGAAAAAGATGTAATTGAATTTATGGAAAGATTAAAGGAAAGAGAAAGTAATCACATCAATAGTGAGAAAAAGGGCGAATTGACAATCGTAAAGAATAGATTTGGAGCTAATAGTGAACATGTACAACATTTTCTTAGATATCCTGATGAATACATCAGTGCTTTAAAATCATTTTATAATATTTAAATTAATGGATCTATTTTAAAATATCATCTAACCAATCTTCCATGTCATCATCTTTTCCTGATGTCACTTTATTTTGGCTTTTTACATTAGTAATAACTTTTTTCTTTGGGCTACTATTATTATTTAGCAAAGAGAATTTTGAACTATTTATTTTGGTTGGTTTATCTATATAAAGTAAATAGATTAGAATATAAAAAAAAAAAGGAGTCATTAAATTTTGAAAGTTTATAGAAGAACGAATATTTACCATTTTTGTCATCAAGAGATTTCAAAAAATCATCAATATCATCATCATTATTTATTGTTGAAATTGGTTTCTGAGGATTCGCATAAGTTTTGGATGCAGACACTAATCAAAAAGAAAAAAGGTATCTACTATTAATAATCAGGCCGGAAGAATATTATTGAATTCTGATAGTGGTTTATTTTAAATATTTGTACTTTCAAAATGAATGATTTATCATGTCTTACATTGAGTCTGTTTTATTATTTTTTTCGAAGCCGGAACTCGCACATTCGATATAGCAGTGTGTGGTGTTTCGGTATTTTTAACATTTTTTAACATGGATTTTTGAACATCTGACTTTACTGTTTTCGGAACAATAGGGACCGCGATGTCTAAAATTGAACCAAAATCATTTTCTTGTCCTTCCTAAGGGAATTTTTTAAAAAAAAAAATCATGATAGGGTTGTGAAATGAAAATGACTTATCGTTATTAAAAATGCTTACCATAAAAATATCATCGCTTAAATTCAATCTCTCGGCTAATGATACGCTAGACAATGATAATTCTAATGCATCGAAACGGATATTCATCAGATTTTGATATATCTATTTAAATAAAGGTTACGTTAAATGTAATTAGAGAACAAGAATTTCATTTTGTAAAACTTACCTCATCTGATTCATTCACAACCTCAACTGAAGTATCCCAGTCCTTCTCCTCCTTGAATTGAAAGTACGTTGAAGGATCCAAGGACCGAGTTTCTATTAATCGTTTAAGGTTAAACAACACAGTCAAGGATTAAAAAATTTAAATAAATAAATCTTTAATTTTGCCTGAAACATCAATCATTTGTAAAAAATCCCTAGTTTCTAAATCAATTCCATCCTCCGCTTCTAAATTTTAAGAAAGTCAAGGTTATTAAATTTACGCGTTATTATAAAGAATACTTTTTATGTAATATAATCTCTACCTTCTGTATCAGAAATATCTTTATATCGATAAGAATTACTTTCGACCTTTCGTCTTTGAAAGTTTTGTCGCTTTGGTTTATCTAAAGAAGTGAAAGTTATTCAATGCAACTAGTCTTTATAAGGAAAATATAAATTTCTATACTTACCTTCCCCATATTCTTCAACTTCCTCAGCAGCTTCTTCATTTCCTTTATGTTGAAAACCACCTCGTGATTTTGAACTACGTTCTTTTCGTTTTTCCTGTACCTCTTTAGAAGTTTCTGAAGAGCCTCGTGAACGTAATTTTGCTTGATATTTTCGTGCTTGTGCTTGCTTATATTCGTCAGGACGCATTCTACAAAATAAAATTGGATCGTTGTATATATATAAATAAAGTCCCACACCTGGGAATATTTTTTGAATGTTGATTTTTATTTTTTTAATTTTTTATAGAAAAATAAATTAATAAAAAAATGATTTCTTAATACTTTATTAATAATACAGATTCTTATGATGAATTGAATATAATATCAAAATTTACATATGAAAGTTCAAATCATCCTTATTGAAAGAGCCTTCATCCTTGGTATAATTTCAATGGATTTGGACGATTCAAAATTTTGTTCTTTAAATCTGAGTTCAGAAACAAATCTTTGGTTCTAGGGTAAAAAGAGTATAACAAAGTTATGATAACTTGGGGTAGAGATAGTTGACTATTTACTAACTAAAAAATGCTATTTGTCACGTGTGCATATAGAAATTTTAATCATATTTATTTTTGCAAAAGTTTTTTTTTTTTGCCAAAAAAAAAAAAATGAAAAAAAAAAAACAAAAAAAAAAAATTGTATACATGACAAAATTGTTAAGAAAAAAAAAAAAATAAATAAATAAATAGGCATAAAAAGTC